TTAATCACTGGAAGGGAGAATGAATGGGCTTTGTGGGATCTAAGGGAATGGCAGGATCCCCCTTTGGCTGCCTCATAAGTGGTTTTGCTAGCACACCAAAGTTAGGAATCCATAGGCAAAGATACCTGCAAGCCCCAAGAAAGAAAGGATTTCACCCTTTGTGGTAGGAGTAAGGAGTTCAGAAACTAGCCATCTTTATTTTTCTGGTGTTGGGGGTGAGGTGGACTCCCAAATAGGTAGCTGAAGGAGAAGAAATTTGGGCCTTGCTGGGGGACACTTGATATCCCCTGGAGGCCAGGAAATTAAGGAGAGCAACAGCGTGGGCCTGCGAATCCTCATAGGAGGGGCTACAAAGGAGGAGGTCATCCACATATTGTATTAAAGTGCTAGAGGTTGGAGGAAGTTCAGGTAAGTCTTGAGCTAAGGCCTGGCTGAAGAAGTGGGCGCTATCCCGATATCCCTGTGGCAGTACTGTCCAGGTGAGTTGTTGGGAAAGATGTATATCAGGATCAGTCCAAGTGAAGGCAAACAGGTTTTGACAGGAAGGGTGTATGGGAATAGAGAAAAAGACATCTTTGAGGTCAAGTGCAGAGAATAAACAGGTTGTCATTGGGATTGTGGATAGAATATAAGGGTTAGGAACGATTGGGGTTATGGGTAAAACAGCCACATTGATGGCCCTGAGGTCGTGAACTAAATTGTATGAGCCATTAGGCTTTATAACCAGAAGGATGGTTGTATTAAAAGGCGAGTGGGTAGGCCGTAAGAGATGAGAAGAAAGGAGTTTGTGTATGACGGGTTTTAAGCCTATTAGGTGTTTGTTAGTGATGGGGTATTGTGGGACATTAGGGAACAAAGAGGGGTTCTACAACTTAAAAGGATAGGGGAATGGTGCATAGCAATGGAGGGAGAAGAAGTGTCTCCTACTACAGGATTAACCTTGTCCAAGGGGAAGGGAAAGGTGGAAGCCTCAGGGGCCAGGTCTGGGGTGACCTGTAACAGGAGTATTGTAGCTGGAGTTAAAGTATTTAGGGCCGGCCCCATGGCTCACTCAGGAAAGTGCGGCGCTGGTAGCACCAAGGCCATGGGTTCAGATCCTATATAGGGATGGCCAGTACGCTCACT